CGTCATTACATGTTATCCGCTGCAGATTAAACCTAATGCAAATTCCAACACTACAATTAGCCAAGTCTGTACTGGGGAAGAGATAGGAGATGAAGGCAGTGAACCGGTCAATACTAGCCGTGAACGCCGGTTGCCTGTGGCCGATCAGTTACTCGTAATCAGAGATGTCAAGTATCACAGTCCTGCCAGTCAACGTTACTATATTAGCACAAACGCCACTCACAATACATCACATTCGAAAGGTATATACCCCATTATGATACAAGTGAGCATAGCTATTAGTAAGCTGCAAAGTATGTGATTGATGCAGTTACTGGCAGGACTGTGACGTAACGCGGAACATCTTGCAACATCTACAGCGACCACGTACATCGCGCCCAGTATCAGCCGAATCTCCGTTACCAATGCAAACCACACTATGTTACGGTGCTGTACCGGAGGGGAGAGAGAGCAGGGAAGGAGGGAGAGAGAGCAGCGAAGGGGGGGAGAGAAATGTTAATACGTTTCCTGATAACTTACCTAATGCAACCCACATTACCTTCGAGCTGTCCGAGGGAGAAGAAAGAAGCAAGGAGGGCAGCTATCTTGGGTGAAGTGATCGGCCGTTAGTACAGAAAAATGTTACGCTAACGTCACATCACAAAATGTAAAGTTAGCTAATCATATATCAGGCTATAACAACGTAGCATTGATAATATAGTACGTTACTGCAAAGACTGTTGATACTGACATAACGAAACTAATGCGCAAGTATCGCCGTATCTTGCGTACTAGATGCAAATCCAAACTATGTTACGGTGGCTGTGCTGGGAGCGTCCTACGTTTCCCAACCCAGTTTTAGATCCACTTCCCGGCATTACGCCCAAGCATCCGACCGTGGCGTTACGTCACAGCATTCACCTGGCGTTACATCCCTATGGTTACATCACTGCCTCCACGCGGCACACCTGCGAAATTCTGAATCTGACAAGCGAAAATACCGTCCCTTTTAACGCTGCATAATACACACTATTGTTGGTGACATCATGTGGACATAATCACCTCCGCTTGTTGTGTTGCTACACGGACCCTTTAGTGGGAACCCTGTAGCTTAGCTATTCATTCTGCTAAGCTTACATGCAGAAGCAGTCAGTATTAACCCTAGATGAATGGATAAAAAGTGTGGAAGTCCTTCTTGATACACCGCCTCCGACTCCTTTCCTCGGACACCACTAATATACATATAATAGTGCTTCTTTGTCAATATGACTGACGACCACACTTATGCAGTGCTGAGGAATGTTAATTAATCATTTAATATTAATTCCTGATGGATATAAGAGGGATACATTAGCAAACTTCTGTATATATCTAGGTATCATTAAATAATGCTGTCAGATAAATGAAGTACACAGTAATAGTCAAGGTTATATTCAATATTCTGCACTATATAGATATAGATATTTAAAACGTCTTTTGTTTGTCCTGAAAACGATATTTGAGGATACACACAGGCTATTTATAGATGATAAAACACCAGTAATACAATCTCAGGACTCTTCGATATGGCTTTGATTACAGGATCGTTTACTTTCAGTCAACACATCCTTAGGAAAGACAAAAAACAACTATTCAATATCCTGCTTTAACGCGACCGCTATAACTGCCGAAGATGAAGTCTATGGCGCTATCGCTTAGAGCTACGTCGATCCTTGCGTAATGCGGAAGTGGGCGTGGTTAAATCTAAACTGGGTTCGAAAAACGATAGACGCGTACCGGATGGGAGAGAGAGAGCAGCGAAGGGGGGGAGAGCAGAGATGTAATACGGTTTCCTGATAAACGTTACCTAACGCAAATCCACACAACTGCTCAACGCAACTAATAACTATTCCCGCGGTCAGAGAGTGGAGATGTTTACCCTTTTTGATGCAATATGACGCGTTTGACGTATGACATTAAAAAAAAAGCCGTTTTTAAGAGCAGAGCTCAAAATTGCTCCTTTCCCTCTGAATTCCTGCCCTTATGTCTCGTAAAACATATCAAATCCTACATTCACTTTTTTAATTGTAATTTTCAAGCAAGTTTAAGCATAAATGTAGAAAAAAAAAAAAACCTGCAAGTTTCTCTTTAAAATGAGCTGCTTTTGTTGCTGTCGATGTCAACACGCACTTTTCCCTTTTGTAAGTATTATAGATGGGTCTCTGATCTCAGAGTTCTTTGAGCATATTTTATTCCGAATGATGCAAAAAATACAGAAGGTCAATTTGTTTTTAGAAGCGATCAGACATAATGATGAGTCACCGGTGTCAACAAGCTCAACAAAGACTAAAGCATGGCACATCCTAAAAATAATCAGATTACGTTGTGGTTCACTTCTTTTCTTATCCGACTTCTTTTCTTATTTTATTTCAGTAGATTTTCTCTGGATTACATAAAGTCAACATTTACAGGATCATTTATGTTGGATTATGGACTCATTTGAAATAATTAAATACATTACATTTGTTTTTTAATCAATATATTACCCTTTTGAATAAAATGAAATATAAGTGCACTGATTCCAGTCCTTTAAAAAAAGATCTGTAATAAATTTTTAAGCCAGATTACAATAAATGTCCTTTTATTTCTTTTTCTCCTTGAAACCACCCAATCTTCATAAAACCACAGTGCTCGGTCATTATGGGATGAGACGACGGTCGATGCCTCAGTCCTCTCTCTTTGACTCCCTCTCTTAATCTCCACATTTCCATGAAACCAGCCGACGTTGAGCCATAATAGTCATGTAATAATACAGTTTTTATCCCATTGGATTTTTATGGCTTTGACAAATCATCCAGAGACAATAAGGATGAAGTGATCATCACAGGATGATCGGACAGTGTTACATGTGTGCAGTGAGGGTTTCTTCACTTATTGTAGATGTGGATAAATGAGGGGTACATTTCCCAAGGTGTAATGCTGTCAATGTTAATGCTTGTGATTCATCTGGGAACATTTTGAGATGTTAAAACTATGTAATTGTTCACATAACCAAATTTGACCTACATTTTCTCCCATAACACCCACTTGGATGTTTACCATGAACTGAAAAGGTATTGGTAAATTGGTACAAGCTACATGTATTCACTGAGTAGAGACCACTGGACATCAGTCTTTACATGTGGTGAAAACATTTTGCTTACTCACGCGCCAACTAGTAGGGATGGGAATGATTATCCGAATATTCAAAATGATTCAGGTATTCAATTATGAGTTCATTATGAATATGTTTTTTTTTATGTAATAATTCGTTTTTTTTTAATGGGAGGTGTGCCTAAAAGGATTAAATATTACCAAGTTGATTCATTAAATTTATATGACGATGCCATTTAAAATATCTGGATCCCTGACACAAACACCTGCGTTTTGTAGCACAGCCTCTCTGCTCGGATATCAGAGAAAAGCTGTCCGAAATGTATAAGCGAGTACCCGATGAGCGCTCCTGCTGATGATACCGCTGCTGCCGTTGTGGACCATGTGTTCCAGGCGGAGGGCACCAGCGCAGCTCCAGAGTCAGACAGTGAGAACCAGCCATGCCCAGCTGCAGCAACGACCCAGAATACAAGGAAATGGAACTCTACTTCAGTGAGCTGTGCACCCCATCCCAGGAAAACCCACTACAGTGGTGGAGGAAAAACGAGGAACGGTTCAAAATACTTTTTTCTCTTTTTTTTTTGTAGGCTACGTCAATTCGGTTAACCGGATAATCGATTTTCATGGCGGCAGCAACAATACTACAGTACCAACATAAGTGTGGCACTGATTATACAGAGGGCCAGCCAACCAATCAGAGCAAACTGGGCTCTGGTTTCAGACAGAGGGTGAAAAGAGGTGCTGCAGCACAGACAGTATGAGAAAAATAAAGAGCTTTTTGAACATTAAAGCATGGAGACATGTCACAGTAGAGGAACAAAATACAAATACGATCCTGAAAATGAGCAAAATAGGGCCCCTTGAGTAATAACTAGATTAACTTTGAGAGATTAGTATTATTATATGCATCCGTTAGGCCATCACTGACAGGAAACGTTATATAACACACACATGTGTATTCCACCTCGAAAAACTAACCTGGTTTACACTGACAGCAGGAATTGGTGTGGGGGTTTGCTGGAGTGCGGCTGGTGTAGTCGCTGTGTTGTTGTTTGTGTTGGTAGCACTGCGAGGCTCTTTCCTGGGGGCTGTTTTCCCACTGGGGGGTTTGCTGCGTGGCCTCGGGGGGTTTTGAAGCTCGAGGGAGGGAAGAGGCAACAGGTCCTTCTCCCTCTCCCTCGCTGCAGGGCTACAGCGGAGAAAAAAAGGCAGCGTCATATTAAATTCACCCTTGAGCAAGGCACTGCTACAGTCATGCAGTATCTCACTGACAAACTGCAGCAGATAATGCTCGCCTTGGCCAGCTGCAGGGGGGGAATGTGTGTTCAAATGAAGAAAATATATAAGACAGCGTGAAATAATTGAAAACAGCATGCATTCGGGCGAACTTGTTAGAATGCGGAAAGCCTAAAAATGGAAAGGGGAAGGGAATGAGTGTCTGAAGGAGAAAGGAACAGAGAAACAAAAATCTGTTTGTCTCACAATTAGCCAAACATCAAGCTGAGCAACCAGTTTGGCATCTACTCAATCTGAGCATTCTTCACAACAGATGTGGGAGTGACGGGTCTAAATGGCAAGCTGCCAAGAGGCTCACTCTAAGCTCTCCATGCTGAGTGACAGTGTTGCCTTAACACTGCTCCTAGTTATACCAACAACAAATGACATGTTAGCTATAATATACAGTTACTAGACGTAAATCATTTGTTCAAACAGTTTGGTCCTGCCTGAAATATCACACTTGAGAGTAATTAAATTGCAGTTATAAGACTGCTCTCCACATGCTCATTCACTCAGATGCCTTCCTGTATGACATGGGATTTAGCTTTATAAATTAAGAGCTAATAAAAACAAAACAGATCATTTCAAGGTTTCTTAATATTTACAGCAATAAAAAAGCACTTGCTATGTTAAGGTAAAGGTATTAGTGTTATATCTACCTGAGCAGAGACTGAAGTCGCTTTTTTTGTGTGCATTTTAGAGCATGTGTGTCCCTGTTTGTGCACTTCCTAGCTACCAGCCACAATTTTGCACTGTGCTTATGCGGCATTTAAGTAAGGGGACAGGGAGACCTACAGTACGCGAATGAGTGTTGGCGCCTTTGTGGGAACATTCTAGTAACTTATATTTATTGGTCCCCGTGCCCCATAAAACCTGGACCTGGTACACGGAACGTATTCATTTTATTATACACTGTTGCCCATACAGTTGGAATCATTTGGTTTCTCTTAACTGTGGTTTAATTTTCACATATGTTTGGGAGATATTGATCAATAAAGCTTTGAGAAGATAAACACTTTATCTATCAAGAATAAATCATATTGTCACAACCGTTTCATGAGAAGAGCTAAACAATTAAATGATTACAACTTTATGGGCAACAGTGTAGTAAAAAGAAAAGTCTATAAAAAGGTCTCATTGACTCTAAGCTTAACATTATGTTTATTATTATTATGATAATTTAAATGTTATTCTAGAGCACATTTAAACAGCATATAAGTAGTCTTTATGTAGGGATACATCAAGCTTAACACACAATGTATCCTCCTTACCTCTGCTGGTTTGTTCTGCTCCACGTCTGGCTCTGATTCTCCTCCACACTGTTTGACCTCTCCGTCCGTCTGGGCTGTTTCTTCCCTGTGGTGATCCTCCTCGGGGTCGTGACCTCCGGCCCTGACAACAGGCCTGGTGACATCCTCATCTTTGACCTCTGACCCTCCCCGGAGGCCTTCTGGCTCAGCTTGGCCTTGGCTTTCTCTCTGCCCGGGCTGCAGGGAGCGAGAATAGTTTGATCTTTGTTGTCATTTGTTGCAGACAATTATTCTATCAGCGTGTATTATACAGATGTCATTTGACAAGTTACATGGGCAAATTTCCCAAACAAATACACTTGTATCCCCTACCATAAGGCTCCTCTGGGTTCTTTGCGTTCGAGCGTGGGTGCAGCAGGAGCAGGAGCAGGGGTGCTGGTGGATCCACAGGGCTTAGTCTTGACAGATGTACCCACTCCTGGTGCTTCTCTCCCTGGAGAAGTACGCTGGGGGATGGCGGCTGAGCAGAGGACCATTTAACCAGAATTAGTATCAATCCAAACAGGATCTCTTTTTACTGCATTACTAGTTGCTGATTGACACAATAGCTATAACGGACTGTACCAACCTGTGGCATGTTCTTGCTGAAGGGGAAGCAGGGGTTTGGTTTGAGCTTGGACTTTATTCAACCAGCTGTCTAACTGCCACTTGTTGGCGGAGGGCTCGGGCTGCAAGGGAACACACATTGTATAGGTTAAATATTCCACTCAACTCCCGCATTGTATTAGGATGGTTGTTGTGTAGTGTATGGAAGCCCAGAGAGGCAAAGCATTATTCTGATGATTCATTTCAGTCGGGTCTGAATTGTTATCTCTAATGTGTTTAATAAAATAAGTATTGCCAGGATAATATAAATCTGATAAAGTCACTTTTTTTTCATCAATGAAAATAGGGGGGAACAAAGTTTTCAGGTGATTGGCATTGATGTAATACTCATTTTGGCCACAAGAGGCTGAAGGGCACCTCATGTTCTAAATAGGATTAATCAGTCATAGTTCCACCAAAAACTTTAAATACATCCAATAATATGTTTCAAATACATTTAAAAAAAACACGACAGTTATGGTACATTATTAGCTAAACATTATATATAGCCTTGTTTCCTGGCAATAAAAGTGTTTTTAAGAGATGAAGAAAGAATAAGAAACAATCGAGGTAAAAAATCTCAAGGGCAGTTACAGATGTGATTCCCTTTAATAACTTATTAATTATTTCATTGGAACGTTTTTCTCTATGTATTCAGTTACTATGTTTTGAATTATTTAAAACCACGACAGCATATCTTTTACAGCTACAGTAGTACATGATTATCTCACTTTCTCCCGGTGGATATGACTGTATATGCATAATGAAACCAGGCAGCGTTGAGACGTTGAAATAATGACAAACAATGTTATAATACAGCTCTCTGCAGTTAGACTTTTATGACTTCCAGAAAACCACCCAGAGACTATAGGAGGAGATAATGTGCATCAGTCAGACGAGGCAATAGAGATGAATCAGGGAGAATAAAATGAAAGTGTATCCGTCTCCTGATAAAATGTGAACACCTTTGGAAGTCTCAGCTGCAGACACACATGACAATGTAAAAATATTTGACTGCAAGTTGTTGAATTATTGCTTAACATTGGGACTGAAGCATTAGCTTGTGTTACAGAATTCCCAAACATTAAGCAGTCATTCAAAAAAATTGCCTTTGATAAGAAATAAGGGTTCGTAATCGTAGGTAAGTCATTATTGGGGCTAGGAATATGCAGGTGGCCACTGTACTGCCTGTTTTGGAACAATGGAATAAACCATTATTAAGTTTGATTTATTTCTTGTTTTATACCTATACCTATACCTACCTAAATAAACGCCCTCTTGTTGCTACTGTAAGAGGCTGAATGCACTTCATTTATGGACCAGAGTGACCGCTTTATGGTTGTTATGTTCAGTACCACTGAGACAGCTGCTTAAACATAATAAATGATATACATTATAGAATACCTCAGAGCTGTTTTTCTTTTGCATATTGTCTTATACCATTTATTTTGTATTATATCATTACATAGTATTTTTTCCGCATAAAATAAATAATTAAGCGTGTTTCTTAAAAAAAAAGGACAAACAGTTCTGCGTATGTTTTCCACGTCATATGTCTCATTATATCCACAATTTTAGCACAGAGTTTAATTGTCATTATACCTCTGGAGTGTGTGTGCGCGAGGCCTGATTGTAATCGCTGTCACTGGAGCTGCTCTCCGATTCGTCTGTGTCCGACTCCGAGCTGCTCTCTGATTCGCTGCTGCTCCCCGACGCCGCACTACAGGAGAAATAAATCAAAGTTCTGTTGAATAAGGATGTTCAATAAGTCGTTCCAACAGTTAGGAAAAACTAATTATTTCTAAATCCAAACTTGAGAAAATAACTAATATATCTATAACATGGGAGGATTAAAACAACAAAACAAGGACAGTTCATGGCCACTGTGAAACCAGAAACATACAGGATTTGCCCATTCTCTCGGTTAGATTTGTTTTAATTAACCACCTGAAAAAAGGCACTAATCATATTATGGTCTTGATTTAGAGATGTGTGGATCGGGTAATTGTCTCCACTGTCGTAATGCATAACATCAAGATAATTCCTAATCTACTCCGACTGCCTCAATTATCTATCGCATCTTTGAACTCTTGAGTAACAGAGAACTCTCACCGAGCTGTGTTAACGAATCTTTGTTTATCCCTTCTGATGTTATGCATCTTGATTCACCAATTAAAACAAACAAAAGGATACATATTGGAGAGGCAGCCACCGTGTCACTCATTTAAATAGAAATCACACAGAATTGAATAAATGTATCTAATAAGCACATAAAATCATATTTTTGAACCCCTTCAATTGTCTTCTCCTCTGGTGCTTGGCTCGGCCTTGTGTTCATCCATCCCTCCACAGTGCTTTGAAACGTCCTCCTGGAGGCAACACACTCGCACGTCCCGACTTAAGAATACACACAATCGCGCTCGCTCACACACAGAAAATGGCAATTATGTGTAGTTCTCTCTTTGTGTACGTGTGTGAGTGTGCATGTAATTTCAGTTCAAGGCTGCCATCACAGCAGGCAGCAATCTGTGTGAGCAGTCAAGCAGCAAATCCATCAACTGTTCCTGAGGCAACACACACACACACACACACACACACACACACACACACACACACACACACACACACACACACACACACACACACACACACACACACACACACACACACACACACACACACACACACACAACACGCCTCCCTCAATTCACTGAGACGTAGACATTTCTAATATTGTTTACA